CAGCATGAATCTTCCAGTGAAGCCAATCGACAGCTGGTCAAGAGGAATCCGTCGTCGTCTTCTGGTGGAAGCGACCCTGGATTCTCTTCACCCAACACTTTCACTCTAAATGGAAGTTGGCTCAACAACTATGAAACAAGAGATTTCTCGAAACCCAACTTTTCTTCGCAGGTATGAGAGAGCCAACGGGGAGTGTAAAGAGATCCCACTAAATGCGCCTCAATTGACAAACCTGAATAAGGTACAAATAAACCAATAAGAAATTGTGATTGTGATTGATTGTGTTACGAAGATACAAGGTAGGTGGCACAACTGTTTGAAAGACAAATGGCCAAAGGATCGACTTCCTTTGTCTCTTTGACGACAAGATTGGCAAGACTCAATGAAGATACCGGCGAAATGTCTGGAAATGCAACAAGTCCATGGTCCATTCTGGAAATTATCATGGACAAACAACTTCTAGCAACATATTTGTTTATTGGTTGTGAGAGGGAATATAAAAACCTTAAAAGTTGTCATTGGCCTTATTCTTGCATCTGAGAACTTTATTTATTGCGGTTAACCTGTGTATTGAAAAAAATTCTTTTTTGCTGCGCAAATAGATCATTCCGTTAAAAATACTTAGTAGGCTGGAAGTTTGCTGAAGTAAATTTAAGTAACAGAGCCTCCATTTTTTATGCTTAGGAATCAAAAGTGCTTTTATGTCATTTTTTATATCAACCGTTTATACATCAGTACTTTTTAGTGAAATGACTCTCTTGCAGATTGCCGAATTTCAGTATACAATTGCTTAGGATGTTTTGAAAGACTTTTCTAACAAAAGACATGTCATAATTATTATTAGACACAGATAATATTCAACAATGTATCTTCTTTGAAGCATCGTGATGGGAAACGTCAGTGAGTCTTACCAGTCTTAGTACTACACTACAACTCGTCTAAGAGAAAAGTGAAGTCGATCCTTTGGGCGCATGAGAAGAGCAAAATAGTACTGAATTCTGCAACTTCATAAACCAAAGGTATGATGTGGCCTTTAGGAATAGGTTTCACTAAATCCGCTCAAAAGCGCACATCAGAACCAGGTAAATTAAGACATTTTGATAATGAATGTGTGTTGCGAGGATACCACAGGAGAGAAGGAGAGATACCACAACTGTTTAGCAGACAATCGGTCAGAAGATCAACTTCACTTGTCTCTTTGGTGAGTTGTGGTATGGATGAAAAAAGTGACAAGAATCACTGACAATGCCGGCAAAACGTGTGAAAATGTACCAAGTCGACTCTGGGAATTATCATGGACAATATGGACTCTGGACAAGATGTTTCCCTCTACGCCTCCCTGAAAATACGACCAAGTTGCGAAAACCAGTTCAAACAACTTTAATATCCCATTTATACAAAAAAGTCCACTATTCTGGTAAAGAAAAAATATTGATAAACTCAGAAAAATTATTTCGCATAAAAAGATAAAATAGAGTCACTAAAAATTATATTTGGTTTATACACTGTCTTATGAATATTACCTGGCGGTTAAATAGACCTATCCTGTTAAGGGATATTTCGTTTGAACAAAAGATACTGGGCAACTTTATCACTTATTAAGACGTGGCTACGAATTTCAATTTGCCTTTTTCCTACAGTTTGAGCTGAAATAATAATAATACTGAAAAAATGTTAGTTGGTAGAATACTTAGGCTATTCATTAAAAATTGCTAGATCTAGACCATTCAGCTTCACATCGAATTATATAAAACAATAGTAATGCAAACATATCCTTTTATCTAATAATTTTATTGCCTTATTTTATTACGAAATGTCCTTTTGTTTTGGACAGATGAACTTGCTTCAGGGCTATTTCAGAATAATCATATTTTGTATTTAAGTTTAAAAGGAAGCTCAAGTCGCACATTCTTTTTCCCATACATGAAATGTGTCCATATGCTTTCGTATGCTATTTTGTCATCAAACTGACTATCTATACAATGAATGTATACTATACTACACTATACTATACTATACTATACTATACTATACTATACAATACTATACAATACTATACTATACAATACAATACAATACTTTACTATACTATACTATACTATACTATACTATACTATACT